TTGTTGTTGTTGTTGTTGTTGTTGTTGTTGTTGTTGTTGTTGTTGTTTTGGCTCAAGCGTTTTTCACCTCAAGCTGACATCATGTCGGTCCAACCACCCGCGGACTGGATTGCGGAAGGGAAATTGAACGTCTACTGGGACACACTTTTGCCACCAGCCAATCGACCTTGGCTGATTGACTATGGTGTTCCACACCTTCAGGCGATTCGAGATGCATTGGCTGCAAAATTTACAGCCCGTGCTGGCACCTTGAAGCTGCCTCCTTCCTCGACTGCTCTTTGCCTCCCAGTGGCTACAGCCTTGATCGCTCGTTTGCACGGCGCGATCTGGACAAAAAGCAAGTTGGTGAGCACTCGTGCACTAGGTTTTGCACCTGGTGTGGCTTACCCACCTGACTTTACAACAACTCCGCCACAGGGCATCATGCTTCCGCGTATTGCGGAGAATTTGATGGCATCCATTGGAGTCGTCCACCAGTACGGCATCGGAGAGAACCGAGTTGTCGCCTTGCACATGAACAACGTCCCGGTCCCTGTTGCAGCCTCTTATCGTACCACGTTAGAGGATGACATCATTCGCCTCTGCGGCGAGCTACATGTCGAGTTGATTCCATACCGAAAGGACCAGAGCATCATCGCTACGAGCTTTGCTCTTCTTTCGGAGATCGATGATCACCCAGCAGCAGGACGAATATTCTAAAGTGTTCGTGTTAATGTCGACCTTTAGTTATAAGTAATATGCCGCTTTTCTTCACCCTGACAGGAGCGCCCTTCCAGTACACCTGGCGCAGTGTGTATGGCTTTGATGGCTTTACATTGAGCTTCGAGGACATCTTGGCGTCTGGCTTCTTCAACACCAAACGTAAGTATACAGCTACAGCCAACGCCTTGCCCATCGTTGCAAGAATCGTCCTTGGTGGTCCTGATTTGCGCGTTGATGCAATCAGTGCTCGCAACTACTCTGCTCAGCCTCATCGAGCAGTTTTGCGTGTTGCTGACTATGACCGCATCATCATCCTGGCATTCATGGCAGAGAGAGCCATTACAAAAGATCCTGAGCCACCGCAGCCTCAGCCGCTGCCAGCTCCCGAACCCAAGCCTGCTCCCTCGCCACCTCCAGCACCGACTCCAACACCTGAGACGTAGCTGGTTTTGGATGCTTACAGATCCTTCAGCGAATCTTCCGAGATTGAGTGGAAATATCGTTGTCTCGCCTTCGAGAGTGCTTGCTCCGCAATTATAAGCCTCTTCCTAGCCAAGGGCACATAGGATTGCCCTCTCGGTTCGTCGATCGAAGCTCGTGCATGGGCTGCTGAAGCACTGGCGGCACTCCTTCTGCGGCCGTGGGCCGTGCGCTGCCTTGGTTGGCCTACTTGGCCTGGCCTTTTCGTGTCCCTGAATGCACCCGTTGATCGTACTGGTAAGCCGGGCAGCTGTTCTTGTTGCTATAGTGCTAGGACCACCGTCCCAAGTCGGTGGGTTGCAGTACCTTCGAACTAGCTATCCCAGCCTTTCGATCTGCAACAGAGGTGAGGGTTGGGTGAAAGCCATGGTTCACCCTGAAGTGGATTACCTTGGTGGTGACATCGATCCTACTTGTAATTCCACGAATCCACATGGCTCCAAGCCACCCAGGTGGGGTACCTTTAAACGGTTACGACCCCATGAAAAGCGCAGCTATAAAAGAGCTCGCAACCGTGCGCTCCGCGACGGATATGCCTGGCACAACGGCCGGCTTTTCGACCGTAAGCACTTCATCGGTCATCCACTGACTGAAGCCATTCCACCTGAGCCTAAGTCATGCCCACCTTCCGTTCGGCCCTCCTGCGCCACAAGGAATCGCGTGCATATGATGGCCTGGAATGGGACTGGCCTTGCTGGATGGAAGATTGATGAGCTGCGGGCCTGGTTGCATCAACAGATGATCCAAGTGGTGGTGCTCCTTGAGACTAGATGGCAATTCGACAGGGAGTGGACCGAGGATGGCTGGCACCACATTGCCAGCAGTGGTTCCCCTTTTCGCTCTTGTGGTATCCCCATCATGATTCGTTCCACCCTCTGTTCATCTGATCGGATCAGCTGGCAAACTCCCATTCCTGGACGAATTGTTCACGTTCGACTTCATCTCAATCGACCGTTGGACATTGTTGGGTGTTATCAGCATACGTTCGTGAACACTAGACCTTGTAAATCCAATCGGAGTATGTGGATCAAGACCTTGAATGACTTGTTGAATGACCTTCCTCGCCGAAACTCCCTCGTCGTTCTTGGGGATTGGAATTGTGGGTTGCCACAAACACACCCGCACATTGGTACACATGGCGTCATGACACAGGACCCACTTGCTGCACTGCCAAAGGAGACATGTCGAGAATTGACTTTCTCTTCACTCGGCTTAGGCAGACTGACAGTGTGGCCTTGGAGTCGATGCCAATTGAATCCTTTGATCTCTTAGGACCCGCTAAGATTGGTCATAGGCCTGTTGTTGGTTCGGTTAACCTCTCGTGGCGCCCGGCTTCCGGAACAGCCCTGCAATGCATCACGTATCAAAGCAGAATCAACTGCCGACAGATGCAGCAGGACGAAGCTCGCTGGATGCAATTTGTCGAATCCAATTCGACTTTGTTGACTCAGGCCAGATGGCATGATCACCATGACATTCAACACACTCAGGAACTGTTGATCCGCAACTACCAACACAACTTTGCTGCTAAACAAGTTCACCATCCTTGTTGGAAACAAACACATGGGTTAATGACTCAGAAATGGGATCTTCTGCATCGACTTCGCACGATTCGCACGATCTCCCTTCGTAATTGTCTTGCTGCATGGAGACTTGTTGTTGCACATCAAAAATGTCATGTTTTGCAAAAACACCGATCTCGTCAGGCTCGAACTGAAAGGTTTGATCACATGCTTGCCGAGGCCCGAGTGGCTGCCAATCGACATGACATGTTTGGACTGTTTGCCATCGTAAGGAAGCTCTCTCCTAAAGAGGCGCACCTCAAAATTCACCTCAGGGGTCCAAAGGGGGAACTCTTGAGCCCCACCGAAGCCTTTGCTCACTTGCAACACTTTGTTCGGACTTCATGGGATGGACCACCTCTTCAGTCACCTGATGGGACGGCCCCAGGCGTGCCTTTTTCTGAGCAGGAACTGGTTAGGGCGTTTGCAAAGCTCAATGCCATGAAGAGCACAGCACCAGGCACATGCCCGAACGCTTGCTTGAAGGCTTGTCCGGCTGAAGCTGCCTCTCAATTGTATCCCCTTTTGGAGGTTTGGTGGTCTCAGACTCCCCCATACATCCCCCAATCGTGGAAAGATGGGTCCTTGTTCTTGTTACCCAAGCCGGGCAAGAAGCCTGACACGGCTGCTCATCTCCGACCGCTTGCGCTTCAAGACCCTCTTGGAACTACCATCTTAGGTGTTTTAACTGGTATTGCTCGCACTAGTGTTCTTCCTTCACTCTGTGCTCAACCACAGTTTGCCTACCTTCCACAACGTGGGACGTTTGAAGCCATCAGTCGTGCGGTGAATCACTGTAGGACCGTTCGAGACACTCTCTATCGGTTTCGTAGGGTGCAAGCTGCATTGGCCCACCATCACCAGGCTCCGGATGTTTTTGGAGGACTTACCATTAGCATTGACCTCAAAAGAGCGTTTGACAGCCTTCCTCGGACGAAATTGCTTCACGATCTTCGGAATCTTGGTGTTGATGAAGCTTGCACCTGCCTACTCCAGGAATGGCATGTCGGCACTCGGTATAGGGTTGAACACAAAGGTCATAGTAATCATGTTGATGTTCATTTAGGAGTTCGCCAAGGGCGCCGTGCCGCTCCGTTTCTCTGGACATGCAGTATGTCCAGACTCATGAGCAAGCTGGCGCAACTCACAAGTGTGGAGTGGGTCCTCCAGGTCCTGACCCTCTATGCTGACGACTTTTTGTTGCAGTGTGAAGTCAATTGTGAACAAGATCTTTGGGACCACCTACACTTTGTTGGCGTTGTGTTTGATTTGTTGGATCAAGCGGGATTGGTTATGAACCTCACCAAAACGGCTATGCTTCATCTCAGTGGCAAAAAATTTCGGAAACTCCACTCCAGAGTACTCATGGAGCATGACCGACAATGGTTTTTGCTGATTCCGCGAGCCTCAGGGAAAGCCACCAAGATA